AAAAAAAAAAAGAAGGTATAACCAAGAATTGGAATAAAGAAGCCCTATGTTCTCTTCCAATGGTGACTTTTTTTTAGAGACAGAGTCTTGTTTTATTGCCCTCGGTAGAGTGCTGTGGCAGTGTCACACAGCTCACAGTGACCTCCAGCTCCCGGGCTTAGGTAATTGCCTCAGCCTCCCGAGTAGCTGGGACTACAGGTGCCTGCCACAATGCCTGGCTATTTTTTTTGTTGCGGTTCGGCCAGGGCCGGGTTTGAACCTGCCACCCTCGGTATATGGGGCCAGTGCCCTACTCAGTGAGCCAGAGGTGCCGCCCCCAGTGGTGACATTTTATTATGCATCTCAGCTGCCCTTCATCCAATTCTTTTTACTAAACTGAGTGGTAGAATAACTCCCCGCACCCCCCGTTATCCTTGGCTTCAGGTACCTCAATAAGCTCTAATGGCACTAAACTCACGATGACAATTCCAAGACTTGAGATCACTCGCCGATGACTGTTTAGACAGATTCACACAGACGACTTTGTCTCCTATCACAGAGGCATACAAAACAAGCAGACCGACACTCTCCCCAGAACGTGGGTAAGCTGTGATCTCAAAGAAGATGGGGAGGATGTGGAGTGGCTCCAAATTCTAGGGAAAGTGCTCCACGGGCTGAGTTTGGAACCTGTGCGGATACACTCTTAATTAGAGCACCAGGTCTGGTGTGTGCATCCCTGGTGCTCTAATTAAGAGTTAGAGCACAGCACCCAGCATGGTGCTGGCAGGACCTAATGCTCAACACACATCTGTTAAATGGGACCAACACAAGAGAAGACAGACTGAACCCACAATGCCTCCTCCCCCTCAATACTCAAGTTATACTCAAGCATAAGTCAAGTTTCCTCAGAGGATAGAAACAGCTGGAGGAACATAGGAAATCCAATTCCTATATATGTATTTTTTTGAGACAGAGTCCCTTTCTGTTGCCAGTGCTGGAGTACAGTGGTGTCAACATAGCTCACTGCAACCTCCAACTCCAGGGCTCAAGTGATCCTTCTGCCTTAGCCTCCTAGGTAGCTGGCACTATAGGCACCTGCCGCAATATCTGGCTAATTTCTTCTCTATAGTAGAGACAGGGACTCGCTCTTGCTCAGGCTGGTCTCTAACACTTGAGCTCAAGGGCTCCTCCTGCCTCAGCCTCCCTGAGTGCTGGGATTATAGAAGTGAGCCACGGCACTGGCCACAATTCCTAGGCTTTGCTAAGCCCCAGTATTAAATGGTAGAGAAGAAAATGGCACTCTGTCCAGTTGGCTTCTGTAATTGTCAAATCATATCCAGGAGCCCGGAGGAATACATCAGAGGACCTGATTTTCACCCTACTTGTCGCTGATGGAGGGAGCTCACATTTTCTTCTGCTATCTTTGACTTTCTCCTATAAATGGCCTCAGGCATCAGACCTCATATCTCTTCATTTGGGCTGGTAAAAAAAGGCCAATTTATGTCGAGGCTTCCCATTTCAGATGCTATTTTTTCCTAACATTTTCCCAGACATAAAGAAAAGCCAGGCCTGTACTCAAGGGGTTTGCAGTCTGGAGAGGTGCTGAGGGGAAGGGCGTGTGTGACAAAGAGGTCGTGACACAGATCCTACAATGGCTACCAGTCTCAGTATTTTCTAATTATACCGTGTGCCTGTTTAGACATACAAGGAGCAGGAGAGAAAAAGGGATAAAATTAGCTATAGGCTAGAAAATGACAACACTTACTCAAACACTCTAAAACACTCTTGGATAAGGCAAGTACCTGTCCTTTTGAAGGAGGGGGATTCGTCAATGAAATGTTTATGTGAAAATCTCAATATTTGGAATGAATTTTTTCTTTTTTATTGTTGGGTACAAGAAACCAGGTTATACTGACTGCATTTGTTACGAATTGTGTCTTGCCCCCAAAAGGTGTGGCACACACCGAGACTTTTTCGTTTTTTGGAGCCAGAGTCTCACTATGTTACCCTCAGTAGAGTGCTGTGGCATCATAGCTCACAGCAACCTCAAACTCTTGGGCTTAAAGGATTCTCTTGCCTTAGTCTCCCTTGTAGCTGGGACTGCAGGGTGGCCACCACAACGCCCAGCTATTTTTTTTTTGTTGTTGTTGTTGTAGTTGTCATTGTTGTTTAGCAGGCCCAGGCTGGGTTTAAACCCACCAGCCCCGGTATATGTGGCCAGTACCCTAACCACTGAGCACAGGCACCAAACCTGGAATGAATTCTTAAACAAGGCCCATTTCCCTTTTCATAATGTGACTGCCAAATGAGACCCAAAGGAACAGATTGACTCTTTCTGACTATTTCTCTACAGATCATTTAGCTTGTAATTTTCTGAGTTTACAGTGATGAGACCATAAATAGCTAACAGGGAATTAAATACTTTAGGGCTTTCAGAAACGACCTTTGAAATTGTTGACATATAACCTATTAGCATATGGATTTCTGGGAAAAGTTCTAAGGAAAGAACTATTATTTGGAAATTCTGGAGAAAGTCCAAATTGTGTTACAGAAGCAACGGCCTCTTCACTCTTTTCCTACCTTGGCTGGGACCGGGAGAGGGGCAGCCAACACCGAATTTCTAACTTTTCCTTGAAACTACTGCTGATGGAAAATGTTACTTCAGGCATTAGAGTTAATTTTTTTTTTTTTTTTTGCAAGTCCAGACTGTATTTATTTTCCTGTTTCATTTATGGCAAGCTTGGACTTGACTGGAATAAAATAAACAATTAAACATCACATCAAAGGCATTCCTGCTGAACAGTGCGTCCTGGGGTCGAATCATGCAAGGAAAAAAACAACCACAACAAACCAAACCAGGATTCCTTAAGAAAAAAAAAATGGTAATAAGGTTCATAACACAAACTGCACCGTTAAAACATGCTTCAAAGAGTTTGTATTTTACTTTGCCCAGAAATAATTCGCCAGATTACTGTCTGAGAAAAGCAAGCGGATTATTTTCTTTCATATCGAGAAATCATGAGATCTGATATTCAAGAAATCTTACAACTTCAGCCAATTAAAGTGGGACCAACGACTTTTCCCTGAGAGTCCTGCTGTTGTATTTCACTGTTAAACTCCGCTCCCGCATCGCTCGACGTCACCCCTCTCTACACACCCAGCCAAGAATGAATGACGAGAAGGTGGCATCTCGGGGCTCCCAGCTCCCGCCAATCCACTTGCCAGCTGTTGGCGAGAGCTTGAGCTTTGGGGATGGGGAAGCCGAGAGCGCGGAAAATCTTTGCTATAAACACGCCCGGCCCTGCCAGTTCTCCCTTTCTTGGCGCACGCACGGAATTCCCCCCCTAAAGGCGGCGGCCGGCGCCCCGGGATGCCCGCGAGGAGTCCCGGGCCGGCGGGGAGCGCAGGTGCCCACCTTGCTCGCAGGTGCCCTTGCTGACCTGGGTGACGGCCTTCTCCCCGCGGCTCTGGGCGCGCAGGCTGGCGGCGCGCAGCTGGCAGCCGCTGGGGTAGGTGGCGCCGTCGCTGCCGCACACCGGGTAGCGGCTCTTGCACACGCACACGCCGCTGCCCGCGGGGCCGCCGGCCGCCGCCCCGGCCTTGCCCTTCCGCCTCTTGCGGCTCTTCACGCACTCCATGCCCGGCGCGCAGTGCCCCCTGCCGGCGCCGCCGCCTCCGCAGGGCTCGCCCTCGCCGCGGGCGCACACCGGGCAGCAGCCGCACGCGTCGCGCGTCTCGCCCAGCGGGCAGCCCCGCGGGGGCAGGGGCGGGCAGGCGGCCGGCGCGCAGGGGCCGCAGGCGTCGGAAGAGGAGGAAGAGGAGAGGGGCAGCAGCAGGAGCAGCAGCCCGGCGGCGCCCAGCAGCAGGGTGCGCAGCGGCGGCCGCTCCATCGCGGGGCGCGGCGGCGGCGGGAGCGCG